CTAACTAACTGATCTGTCAGTGTCACTTTCAAAGGGAATGGGAGTAGTACACGTAACCTCGCCTATTAGCTTAAGATATCTGACTAGTGTCCACGTACGCTTAGAATAAATGATTATTTTTTAATCCACCGCTATCATGAAACTCGGGTGATACATACACGCATGTGTTAATCGTAATATAATTGCTTAAATAAAAGTTATTTGATTGCGTGTAATTTTTTTAAGGCTTCGAAAATGGAGCAGATAAAGGTTCCCAAGGTATGAACAACTTCTGATTCAATATTTATCGTACTGTAGTTTATTAGTAACGAATTGATAGTAGTAGAAATATTAGACATATTTATTTATTGATTCTATTTTCTTGTATTAAGTTATACCAAAAATAAATCGCAATATTGAAAAAAATGTCTTATTTTTATTCGCATATATATTGTAATATTAGACTTCAAAAGAAATATATATTTTGCAGGTAGAGAACGTGAGAATGCTAGACAAATATAGCAATAATCATTCCATCGGTACACTCTACCTAACAGTGACACATCTCATTTTTGTTGAAAGAAGCGGCAAAAAGAAGATATGGGTAAATCAGTCATATATTATTTTAATAGAAATTATTGTTAAGTTTGTATCGAAAATAATAAAATGTAATTAAAAAAAATTAAATTACAGGTTTTATACACACATATTTCTAATATAGAGAAACAGCCGTTGACGACCACAGGATCACCATTGTATATTAAGTGCAAGCATTTCTTCATTGTCACATTTGTCATCCCGAAGGAACGCGATTGCCACGAGATTTATCTCACATTATTAAAATTATCCTGTCCAGGTAACAAGCTACTACATTTGTATCATATTTTGCACATAAATATTTTGCACGTCTTTTAAGAATTTTTAAAAAGCCCTATGCTTATAAATTATGTAACATATACAGAATAAATTTTAAGATAATCATTTCTAACATAAAAAGTTAAAATTTTTTATTGGTTTAATTTTACTACAGCTAGTATAGAAGATTTATATTGCTTCAATTATCAAGAAAATAAAGACACGCTACCTCAGCATGCAGGATGGAATTTCTTCAATGTACAAAGTGAATTTCAGCGGCAAGGTGTTCCCAACGAGGAGTGGTCACTTTCGTATTTAAATACTAATTATGAGGTAAAATAATATTAATTGTATTATCATTTTGCATTTTCAACGCTATTAATTTAAACTATTAATTTTTTTTTTTTAGCTTTGCGATACTTACCCTAGGTACTTATATGTTCCCAGTGCATCTACTAAAAACATTTTATTAGGTAGTGCAAAGTTTAGAAGCAGAGGGAGGCTACCAGTTTTAACGTACTTGCATTCAAACAAGGTTTGATCAAAATGATAAACTAAACATTTGAATAAAAGTTTTTCAAATAAAATAACTTTTAGGCTGCCATTTGCCGCTGCAGTCAACCACTTTCAGGATTTAGTGCACGATGTCCTGAAGACGAAGAAATGATGCATAATATATTATGTACAAATCCTAATTCACGGTATATGTATGTTGTCGATACAAGACCGCGGGTAAGTATATAATTGGAATATATAATTCCTTTTTCAATTAAATATCAGGCCTAATTTTATTCCTTTTATTTTACCTTTTATATTCTTTGATATGTCATTCTTTAGAATTGGAAACAGAAAATACTGTTATAAATATTTTAATTACTAAATAATAATAAGGCTCTGTAAGTATAAAATAATATATGCAAAAAAAGGACAAAGAGCCAGTAATGTAGTAACAAACTTTAATTTAAATTCAATCATAAAATTCATATAATAATTACAAAACGGTAAACAAACGACAAATAAACGTTTCGACTCCGCTAGAGTTATTTTCAATGTTGCGGTAATATTCAAATCGCTATAAAAATATCTATAGTATTACATTCTTCATATCGTATAGTGCCTTGCGAGTCAGTTATATCAGAATTCAAAGTAGTCAGAAAAACAATATTTTAGAAAAGTGAACGTGAACAAAACATTAAGCATGTATTAAGTATTAATGTTTTGTTCGCGGTCACTTTTCTAGAATATTGTTTTTCTGATTATTTTGAATTCTGATATAACTGACTCGCAAGGCACTACACGATATGAAGAATGTAATACCATAGATATTTTTATAGCGATGAAAAATGATTTTGTAGTTATTTCTAAGGATGCAAGATATTAAAAACAAAATTTAATTCTGTTCAATTAGATTAATGCCTTTGCTAACAGAGCTGCAGGGAAAGGATATGAGAATGAAAATTTCTATGACAATATCAAATTTCATTTCTTCGGGATAGAGAACATTCACGTAATGAGAACGAGTTTAAATAAGCTTTTGGACTGTAAGTATAACATTTTTACAAAGTTTGTGTTATAAAACATCAGTTTCCCCACATTACAATTGTTAAATTTCCATCTATATTTGAACTTTTAGTACAAAGATCAACCTCCATGAGCGCATTTTTAAGTGGCCTAGAAAATAGCGGTTGGTTAAAGCATATTCGCTCTATTCTGGAAACTGCTTGGTTCATTGCACGGGCAGTTTCGAACGGCGTGAGCGTAGTAGTGCATTGTAGCGATGGATGGGATCGTACTGCGCAAGTGTGCTCTCTGGCTGCATTACTATTAGATCCATTTTATAGAACCATCCAAGGTTTTCAAGTAAATCTATATCAATTTGTTTCAAATTTTTGCATTTATAATTATTATTCGATTAAATTATATACTCATTTCTGATTAAAAAAAACTTTTTACAGGCTTTAATAGAAAAGGATTGGCTATCGTTTGGTCATAAATTTAGTGATCGTTGTGGCTATGTCAGTAGCGATGGTAAAGAACTCGCACCAATATTTACACAGTTTATAGATGCGACATACCAACTGCTACAGCAATATCCATATAAATTCCAATTCAATGAATATTTTCTTTTAACGTTACATGATCATGTACATAGCTGTCAACACGGTACATTCATCGGAAATTCGGAGAAAGAAAGGCAAATATTAAGGTATTACATCTTTATATTAATCTTTTTCTTCATGATAAACGTAAATGACAAAAAAATTATGGTGAATATTATTTTAGATTGTCTGAGCGAACATATTCGTTGTGGGGCTACTTAGCGAATAATATGAATGAATATATAAATCCAATCTACAGATGCAATCGTTATAATAACGAGGACTCTGTTGATATTCTTCAACCTAAATTGGCACCTCAATCTATCGTGTAATAAATATGTAACTTTTGTGCAACGATTTATATTCAATATTATTAACCATACACCTTGAACGTACCTTAAACCGTGTTATTTTATTTTCAGTCTTTGGAGAGGCTTATACTTTAGATTTGAAAATGGAATACATCCTAGAGAAACGTGTGAAGATTTAATTTTGACGATCTACGATCACACAAGTTCCTTAGAAGATCATGTAAAGCTTCTATTAAAAGTATGTATCACACAATTTAATCGGACAAATAGATATTAAATTTTAATGAAAAATTAATGTACATCGTTTATATCTGCATTTTAATTTTCAACAGCGAGTAAATTCTTTGGGGCAACTTTTAAATACAAGTAACACTCAAAAGAAGGGAAAGCATAAATTTGACACTAAATTCACGAAGGAGTCTTTGTCAGAGAGTATAATAGAGAATACCGCAAATCACGATGAAAAAACGAGAAGTAAACTAAAAGTGAATCAATTGGAAAGTGAATTAAAGACAGTTGCCTTAGAATGGAAATCGTCGCGAAATATAGAAGAATGTGGATGCTCTACTACATTCGATGCTTTTAACAAAAAGGTACAATTTACGAGTGTACCTTGTAAGTTAAAACAACCTTTTTATGTTTACTTCATAATGATTATTTTATTTCAGCATCATTGTTGGTCCTGTGGTGATGTATTATGCACAAGATGTATGACAGTGCATACTAAATTACCTGGACATCTGTCACAACGTGCCGTACCCACGTGCAAATCGTGCTATCAAAGTTTTGGCATATCTGCCACTAGTCCTTAAACGTGCTTTATTTAATACCGACTTATTCTTCTTTATAAGTTAATATTTGTATGTACGTTTTTTTTTGCGAAATGAAGAAGCGTAGCATATATATCAGGCATTGTATTATTCCAATTTTATATATTTAGCTTTTCTCTATATTTCTTTGAATTTTATTTCGTTCGCATAATCGATACAAACAACGTAGTACCTGATTACAATATATATAACATACGGACTTATTTCTAACTTAAATAACTCATAAACACCTTAAAGTTCGTGAATATTACACCAAATAATTAATAACAAATCATTGACTATCAACTACTATGGTATGGTCGATAAATGCTGTTACATTTTACGTTAATGACTTTAATCTACCTCAACTTATACTTCAATACTTTATAATTATTAGAAAAAAAATTATACATAAATTACGCAAATATAGAAAACTTACGGGAACACAAGCTGACTTTTGCACATTCTGTGGATAAATGCATATAATTTGTTTGCCTTATAATCGAAATGGATTCTGCCATAGTAGTTGAAAAATATAGTTTGAGTTACATCAGAACATAAATGTACACATATCTTGCATTCACATATATTACATTCTCTTCGACTTTTTTGCTATCTCTTATTGATTTGTCCCAGTGTAACATTAAAATATGTAACATTTAAAATATGAATGAGTTATGCTATCTCCTTTAATGCTATAACATTAAAATGTTGTAGTTAAAAACATAAATATATACTATATTATTAAGGCATTGTCCATTTTAAAAGAAAATACTCTATTGTAAATTTCAAAGTATATAGATACATCATACATCACTCAGTACACAAAAGCATATGTATAATTCGAGAACAGTTTCCTCAAATATATTAATAAGATTTCATATACGATATCAAATGTCAATATTCTTAGAAGAGTAATTAAATATCGCATCACACATTGCAGTGACTGAATTTACTAGTGACTGGTAACCTACTATCCACAGTGGCAAATGTAATGTGTGGAATGTGATAGTATTATATAAATATCTTAACGCGATAATACTCTTATTAAATTTTTTTATAATTATTCTTCTTCCTATTCTTTATTTGGTTTTCTTCGTCGTGGTCCTTCGCTACTAATCGGTGGAGTATCCTGCAATAATTATATGTGTGCTTTACATAACCGAGAATCATTTATCATTTATAAGAAAAAAAGCATTGTGTATATCGAAAAACTTAATGAATTACAGTTCTTATAAAATGCTTAAAGATCTATTATCAACCTTATCACTTTCTATTATCACTTCCTCTGTTCCAGTCTCTATCTCTGTATCTCCTATTTCTTCTATGACAGGTTTTTGTTCAAGCTCAGAATTTTCATTTTCCATGGTCTCGTCAATGCCTAACCCTAAGAGTGACTTTTCATCTTCTTCGTCTTTAAAATCTGTTTTGTCCTAGGATATTGAAAACAATATAAGTTACGTTTTGATCTCACTTAAGTATCTTACATTTATATAACAATATCAACAATAATAAATAGCATTATATGCTGGACGACTTGTATTCTGCTTATAAAGCAACTAATGTTATCACATATTTACTTTTAGGGTTTCTAAATTTTTGTATTTATAAAAATAAACAATTTTCTTTACAAGAACATTGGAATTATTTTAGCTTAACTAAATGTTATACCTCGGAAAAGCAGCAAAAATACATTATCAGTACTACTGGTATTGCAATTAGTACTAGATATACTGCCCACATCCATGGATGGTCCGCAGTAAATTTCGCAATCCGATTCCATGTACTCCACTGCATTAAATAATCATATAAAGTACTATACTTATAAGCATACACTGATTTTTAATTATATGCTAATTTATGTATTACAATTACATTTTAAATTAACTTTTAATCTAATTAAATAAAGTGATGTGTAAATGCCAGTATGGGCCAACACAGGATATTGGTGTGTGATATGATCAAATCTTTATTAATCAAAAGTGATGAACTTTCTCGCTTCAGGTCCTCTTTAGTACATAAAATAGTGATAAAAGAATAATAGCCACAGGATCACATTACGAAGACTGTGTCCAATATTACACAGAGATGTACATCAAATTGGCAAATTCGATGTATCGCAGAATCGGAAGAGCACTGAATCACCACTTAATCAACTATTGAATTAGAAATTTTTTTAAATTTTTTATTTACACATCACTAGATTTAATCTTTGGGCCTATTGTAATAACTTTTTGTTCTAATTAAATAATATACATAATATAATTGTAATACATATGCTATTATGTTTCAAAATCTATTATATGCGTAAAGTATACAAATACTAGCATTGAAATGAAGCTCTTATTAATCTTTGAATAATAACGAATAAACTTTTTCAATATTTAAAAAAAAAGGAGCCAGTAAGGATTATATTTTAAAACTAATTTTACTATTACAACTTTGTAAAATATCTAATATAAATATTATACAAAGAGTATTTACATTATATATGTTATTAGCGCATTTGTACATATAATATACTTCAATATTATTCCCAAGCAAATACTTTCAATATTTCGTTCAATCTTTATCTTTCATATCTATTGTACCTCACAAGCTCGTTTGCACAGGTACCAAATGTAAGCTACAATTGGTATCGCGCAATACAAGAAATATAATGCCCACCATCCAGGCTTATAATTCATCGCTTTCATCATTCGACCCCACATAGAATCCTGCATATTATAATTTGTATACTAAAGAATTAATTGTCTATTTTCAAAAGTACAGCTTCCAATTTGACAAGTGGATTAATTTCCAAATAGACCCGTATTTGTATACTTAGGCTATGTTTCAAAACTTCCTCTCCGAGGAAGATTTTACTTTATGCTAGTATACGTTACGTGTACTATATATTTCGAGTAAAATTTTTCTCTGAGAGGAAATTTTGAAACGTAGCCTTATATACTTATATATTACTACCTTATATACTTATATATTATTAGCAAAAATTTGTTATAGGAGATATGTAAGAAAAAGTATTTTTAGATCACAGAGATATATGTGTAAGAAAAATAGATCTCAGATCTTTAGATCTCATATACATGAGATAAAAAAAAATATCTTTAGATCACAGATAAAAAGGTACTTACATTTTCCTCAGCAATTTTAACACGTCGAACCTCGAATGTATCAATTGCCCATTTCTTCGCAACTTTTTCATCATCTGTTATAATTATGTTGTCGAAATATATGTCGGTAGACATTGACCACAGCTCGAAGCCAACAGCACTCTATAAAACACATTCGCATATATTATACAAAAATTTAGGTAGTTTACTAGGAAATATTCTATTCATTACATACAATTGGTAACATCTTGAACGGATGTTTATCATTAAAGTAATCAGGATTATCTATAAGTCTAGGCTTCCATTTTCCCTTGTAATTAGGATTGTTAACAAGTGGCGCCAACCATTTTCCTTTATATCGTGGATTCTTCATCATTTTCTGCTTATATGGTCCGCAACCAGGAACATCCACGCATTTTGGATTTTGTATTTCCGGAGGCTCCCATTCACCATCCATCTCGACATCCCAATCATCGGGCTTAACCGAATCCGGATTCGGTATCATCGGCAGTTCGTCTTCAAGCCACCCTTCTGGCATAATATCTTCCTCATCAACTATCTGTGCTGGAGCATCTTCATCCCAGTCGTCAGGCTTTTCCGCCAATGGATCAGGAATCTTTTCTCGATCATCCCAATCCTCAGGCTGTTTATCATCAGGATCTTCTATTTCTAGAGGCGGATTCACGGGAGGAGTGAAATCGTCTAGTAACGAGCCGGTGTTTAAAAGTTTATTATCTACTTTGATTTCATACATATTATCAGGCCGTACGATCAGAGTATACAAATGCGGGTTTTTATCTTTGAAGTAATCTTCCATTTTGTCTTTTGATTTTTTACAATGTTTCTCTGTGATTGTACCATTCAATGGATTCTTATGTCGAAATATAAAGTGAAGCTGAAAGAAAAAAAATAAACATCAAATAAATCATAATATATTTTGTGTATTAAGTAATATTTAAACTAAAATAAAATTAATAAAGCGCACATCTTGCATACCTTGTGATCGTTGCCACATTTATCAGGCCCAAACATTATAGTATATGGTGTTTTATCTTGAAACTGTTTCAAGTCTCCATATTTATCATCTAAAGTAAGCAACTTAAGATAAGCACCACCACATTCTTGTCCCTCTTGAAAATTAACTTCATATTGTACAATTAAGGGCTTGTCTTCAAAATAAAATGGCTTAACTAATGCAGTAGAAACGGCAGCATGTCTAGCTTTGCTTTTAAGCACTAATCCTAAGTCTCCATCCTCGCCATGTTTCTTAGGTTCCTCGATGGACCAAATTCCTAACAAATAACAAAAAGATAAATATTGGTTATGTTGGTTAACTATTAGGAACATACTGGGCTAATATTTGATAATATTATACCAATAATTCTACTACTAAAGTATAACAAAAGAATGTACAAAAATTTAATATTAACCATCGTATTTAGCGATATCTTCATCAATATCATCTTTTTTCGCCTCTGATAATATCCATACATTCCTAAATCTCTCCTCACTGTCAAAGTTCTCCGCTAGGTGAGCGAAATCGGAAGGTTCCGGACTTTTGTAAGTTGGCTTCTGTATTGCATCGCTGTCTTCATCCGTACTTAATATACAACATGCATTCAGGCAAACTAACACAACACACGCTATGATTCTTGCCATTTCATATTCCTGAAATGCAAAAAAAAAAAATGAAATGAGAGGATACCTTTGCCTAATTAATTTATTTAAGTCTGGTGATTTAAAACACATGACAAAATAAATTCAATGAATAAAAAACTAAGATTCACAAAATTAACATACATATAAAAAACAAACATTAAAGCAATATCTTACGGCAATTTTTTAAAACAGTTTTTAAAAAATTGACATTATATCCCTAAAATCAATGCACCCGAGAGACGGAATGAGCCAGTCATGCAAAACTTAACCTCAAACTTGCATCGTACATCATATACCTCCCCCCCGGACACCATTGATCGCGGCGTAACGCATAATTTTGCATAAACTTTTTAGTTTAAATCAATCTGTATTGCATAGTGATATCAAAACAGTAAATCACAAGTTTTTTTTTACATTAGAAAAAATGTAACAAAAGTTTGTCTTACCGGTGATACGAGAGAAAGTTAATTCAGAGAATCCTCGGACGATTGGCACGGCGTAAACAGCGAGGACGTGTTATTCAATTATTTAATAATGATAATTTAATCTATCCACGTAAGGGCAACTCTACGTCGCGTTCTGAAAATGAGCGGTGCTTCCGGAAGTTGCCGGTGAGATCACGTTAATTGGTAGTAACTTTAATTGAATTCCTAGCACCGCTCGACCGTCGACGCGCACACCCAACGACAGAACGAACGCAACGATGACAACGTTCACATAGAACAGCAATATTTTCTGATTTTCATTACCGATTATCTAACGTTATCACACGTTAGGCCCGAGCGATAGGCGAGGTAGGTCGCATCGTTCTACGCAACTGCACTTTCTACACCGCCACGCGTCGCTCCTCGACTGATCATCCAACACGAGGATGTTAATTGTTCAAGTTGTTTGAAATCTTTCGAAATTTTTGTACTCGAAATTAAATAGTTAGAGATTGAAAAAAGAGAAAGCTAAAATTCCGAGTTTAAAAATACAAATAATTCAAATAAATCTACGATAATACATTCGTTTCCGTTTTATCTACACCGAGTGCAACGCTCGATGCGATGTGATACAATGGCTGTCCCAACATTGCTAGGTTGAAAATCTATAGTTTACATTACGTGTACTATACATTTTCAGCACTGACAGAGAACTTTGGAACACAGCCTTTGAAATCATGTAAAGGCCGAATAACAAGTCAGATGTCTAGAAGCATTCGTGTGTATCGTGCCGTTAAAGTTATTAAATTGACAGTTTTATAAAAAAACAATATAGTTTTAAATCTGCCAAAGAAAATAATATACATTTATTAAATATTAATTCCTATAAATTCTAAATTCTTTGATTACATTGTTCCTCTCCCTTCTCACACCATAAATCTAAAATTAATAAATGCGATATCTTAAATACGCCACATTCATTCAGTCAAATTCTTCAAGGGTGGTGAGAAATATCTCGTGACTGTCCTTACGACCATAACAGCACTGAAAATTATTCTAACGTTAATACGAAATTTGTATAGTTTCAAATACAATTACGGCATTTAAATACCTTAGTATAGCGATTACTCCAGCTGGCATTATCTTTCCACTGTTGTAAAATCGATATCCCATCAGACTTCCAAGGGCCGTGCTAGTGCCTAAGAAAACTGCAACGTTGGTTGGATCCTGGGAAGTCTGGTAAGCACCATATCCTAGAACTGATCCAAAAAGAAGACCCGCGGCCAGTGAAGGGATGGAACCTGAAATATTCGATAAGATTATCACTTAAAGCATTTCAAGCACACATAGAGAAAATCAAGTGACATCAGTGAGAATCATAAGGCTTGTTCTTTTTAATAAATTTCTTGTACAGTTCATTTATTTTTCTTTTTTTTTTCAACGTGGAGAGAAAAAGAAAGGGACTGTGTAAGAAATTTTTAGCTAAAAAGAACAAATCTATGGAACATTCGATTTCAGAGCTGACACTATATAATCCACATAGCTCAAGTATAACACAAATCATCATGATAGCAATTAAATCTATACAGCACAAACCTATATAGAAGATTACAACAATTCCTGCATTATATTACTGAAATATTACTAGAATGTTGCATATTGCTAGAATTTTGCTGAAATGATCTGTATTGTAATAGAAACTACTCAAACTTCCAAAATGATCTAACTAATATCAATTTCTGTCTATATTGTACCAAAATAAGATTAATTTTATTTTCTTTATTTATTCAACTTATTCTCAGAATTAGAAAAAAAAAATGAGTTAGTTGAAATGAGATTAAAATTAAATTAACATTGAAAACGGACATAAAAGTCATTTTTTTTCTGTCATTTACATTTTATTTTGACGTTATCATGACTTGTCATTCTGCTTGAGAAGTGTCATTTTATCTTTGTTATTTATTAAGCGAGAAAAGAATAGAACAACGTTTGTGTCTCGCCTGAAAGGAAAGCAAACAAATTTTGTCAACAATTAATCAAACTACTCACTCGATTTCACGTAACCTAGCACTCCACCACCAGCCACCGCGGCAGCGTACGCAAATGCGGCGTAGTCGATCGGCATTGCTGTAAAAAGAGAAAAATCGTTTGCAGTCTCCAGTCTGTGTACGCTATGACGTCTATTTATATAATTACCGAATGATAAGCTCGATATATCTTTCGCGCTGCGTCGCAATTACGCAAAAAAAATTATTACACGGGATGGCAAACTACCGAAAGAAGTTTTTCCCTGCTTCTTTCGTCACACCTCTCGACAATTAATTCAACGAGGTTTTAATTGCAACAAATAACATCCGTATAATCACACGCTACAGCTCGACGCGATAATTTATATTTAATGCACGACGGCGGGCAATCCGTGATAAGGCATGTTTTTTTTTTTTTTTTTTTTTTTGCGGTCTTCCTTTCAGTGCTACCACCCGCCGTTCATCGGCCAATCGCGTTCCAGTTATTAAGTTAGGTTTTGAATAACGTGTATGCAATGACGATTCATTACAGGCAATTACAGATTTATTTATACCAATTGCATAACGTTTGTTACTTTGTTCATTCCTCATTCTTTCGCGCGAGTGTTCTTTTTGTTATTATACAAATATAGTTAGACTAGAAAAATTACAATTCTTCAGCGACAAAAATATACTCCGTGCATGCGACTTTAAAAAAAAAAAGTCGCGAAGAGACATTTGTGAAATACAGGAAAAAAAATTGGATAATTTATCTGACCTTTACATTCGTATACTCTTTTCAAATAGCGTCCTCTGATATACGTCAGTCGAATATTTCCCGAGTGAGGAAATTCGTGGTATGAATATTTTCAAATTCGAACGAGAGTAAACAGAAAAAAAAAAAAAGGAAATCCGAAATATCTCCAGCGAGGAGATCTAATTGTGCTCTAATGCCAATTTTTAACAATAAAGATTGACTTTAATTAATTTAACAATTTGCTCTTTATCTTTTTCTAAATTCTTACAATTAGAAAAAGATGAAGATCGAGTTATATAGTTGGACCGAGATTAGACTATATTTTGTAGAAACGAACATTAATATCTTCTTCCGGAATGACCGATTTTTTTTAACCCCCAATTCAATAACAATTACTTTTATTCTTTTAATTAAGACCGTCTTCGATCGATATTAATGTAGAGCTGGCTATTCCACAGCAACGATCGCGCAATTAAGACTCTCGTTCTTTCTTAATCGGAGATTATCTTTAATTCAACGACTGTGTGACATTTATTGAAGAAAAATCTAGAAAAATATAATCGAGGAGAATCAAGCTTCTTATTACGTTTCGCTGCGTTTCGCATCGTTAGCGAAATATCGAATTCCTACTCGTCAACTCGCACAGACGGCCGTTACACTTTTTTCTACGAATTGCTATGAATTGAAAAGTCACGATCGATGACATCACTTTACCGCTTTAACGTCAATATAAGCGTATATAAGCGTATATAACCGCCGATAGGTCGGACTTGTGAGAATTCCGCGTCAGGGTCGTTCGATATGCTCTCACATAATTTGTTCGTCAACACTGGGAACATACTCTCCCTGAGCGAAGCGAAACAGAAGGCGAGTCAAAATTCCACGGATGAGGTCAGTTGACAGTTATTGCATAACGTTGCGTTCTACATAATTCAGTATAAAATATACGTCTTAACTGTGTCGCGCGACACCGATCGATTTATAGTTCTTGAGGCCGAGGTTATGTTGCGACACACTTGTCAAAATTTCTTCTCTAACATCACTTGATACGTTTTAGTTGATCGAGACACTGAAGATCATTCTAAACGATGAACAAAGCAAGGGGAATGACAAGACAATTGTTTGTATATGTGATTTTCAGTAGCGATTGAAAGTGTCTTTCTCTTTTTAAACAGCTGATCAGTTTTCTGTCAATTATAATTCTAGATCAATGGAAAGAAGGATACAAGTTTACAGGACGTGGATAGAAAAGACTTAAAGATCACTGTAAAAGTATTTATCTCATCACCTGACGTTAATTCATTAAAGGAAGCATTGGATCAAGGTATCTCCAGCCATTATAATAGATTTCTTTTATGTTCCTAGTGAAAATTTTTCTCAGAATTTTTCATACAATTTTTCAGAATTTCTATATAACTTTTCAGATTTTCTCTATAATTTTATAACTTTCCCACATTTTTTTATATGAATTGTAACATTTCTCAGAAAATCTACATCTTTTCTCAGAAATTTTTATGTATGTTATTTATGAAATATCGTAAGATTTTAAGATTTTTTTTGTAAGTATAATTTCTGATGAAATGTTATAAAATCTAAAAAATTTTTAAGTATTTTTTAAAAATTATGGGATAAGAAATTTCAGAATATTTCAGAACTCACTTGTATGAAAAATTCTAAGAAAAGATATAAACTTTTCGAATATTTCTGAGTATTTCTGAAAAATGTTCCTATTCATATAAAAATTATGAGAAAAATTTTCATCACGGGAGGTTTGTTCTTTTTACTGAACTTCTTGTACGATTTATCTTTCCTCTTTTTTTCTTTTTATGTTGAAAAGAAAATGAAGAAAGAAATAAAGAAGTTCAGCTAAAAAGAATAATCCTAGGTATTCCTAATGTGTTTTATATTTTATAGCGTTTGAAGCACTTCATACAGATACCATAGAATCACTAGTAATAGCTTACAAAAGTGCTGAGAGCCTAGAAGATATGTTGTCATCGTTAAAAAAAATATGGTCTGTGATAGAAGACTATGTAAAAGTTGACAAGTTATCCAGTGTTGGATTGAGCGATATTAATACAAACACTTTCATTGAACTGTTTCAATGGGCAGATGTAAGAATAAGTTATGTAAAGCGGTATTCATATTTATTTTAATATATTCTCATCCATATTTGTAATGTTTACTTGTTACAGATAAAACCAAACATTGTACAGATTAATTTAGCCACGTGTTGTGTCGTACCGCCAGCTTTGCAGGAATTTACTAAAGAAAATGATATTCAGTTGCTGACTCATAGTGATCCCTGTCGTAAGTATTTTTCACTTAAAACAATTAAAATAAATTAATGATATTAACATGGTGTCCAGTGGTCCTTGAATATCCTTGGATCCGGGAATTATACTTGAATTTTATTTAACGAAATTTTATTTCCTGTATTCTGAAAAATTCCTGGAAATCCCTAAAATTTCAGGGCTTGCCTGGAATTTATCATTTTTTTATTCTAAAAAAATTAGCGTGAAAAAGAAAACATTAATAAGAAGAAAAGTTGTATTTGGGTATAAGTCCTTTCTTAAAGATGCAATAGGTTATCAATAGAAAATGAGAAATTTGAATTAATGTCTAAAATAGAACATAGTAGAAAAATTGTTTGTGTTGCTGGAATGTTTATTTAATATTATTTATAAAGCAATAAATAATATTGTTCTAAATTTGTTAGCGTTAATTCATTCGTATAGAATCCTAACTTAAATACAAAGCATATAATATAGATGTGACACAAGGGTATATAGCCAGAGATTACACAATTGCTAAAATATAATATTTTAAATAACATAAAATAAAGTAAAACATACGTTCTGACCAAAAGATTCGGCTATTCATATCAGTGTTGTTAAATATAAATAAATATAAGATTACATTCTAACGGTTATAAATGCAAGTAATTCTAAACGACTATAATTAAATCAAATTAATTTAGTTACAAAAGATAAAATGATAGTACGTAATTTAAGTTAATTAATTAGATGTAATTATAATCGTTTAGTATAACTTGCATATATAATCGTTAGGATGTAATCTTATATTTATTTATATTTAACAACATTGATAATGACCGAATCTTCTGGACGAAACATATATTTTACTTTATTTTATGTTATTTAAAATATTATATTTTAGCAACTGTAAGAGTTGGCTATTGTTCATATACCCTTGTGTCACATCTATATTGTTTTTTTACAAGTGAGCATTGTATATTTAGTCTTATATAAAGCATATAATATTGAGCAAATCAATAAGAATTAATTAAATAATGAAGATTAATCGATGGGATAAATCCTGAAAAAAGAATTTTTACCTGGAATATCCTGGAATTATCCTTTAATTGACTAGCTAAATTTTGTTGGACACCTTGATTAACATTTCGCTGGCAATATATGATTTTAAAGGCATTGTCGATTTTTTGTTGTTAATTCTATTAGATAAATTTAAATTTGTATAAAGCAAAATACAACTCAGTTTCTATGATAATGAAAATTTATTAAAAACTTTCACAAGAGTATAAGAATTTTTTTAGATTCTTATATATCCGGAACAATATAAAAATTTATACTAAAGTTCAGACATCCAGATTGTTCAAAAGGTGAAAATTTTATATTGCATAAGGTTAAAACAATCGATTATTAAGCATAAGGTTCACTTTATTTTTCGGTATTTTTTCTTCTAGAAATTCTTCCTCAAGAAGTATTAGAGAATATATTTGGTTCTACTGCCTATTTATACTGGTTGATAAGATATCAAATCCATCTCAAATGCCGCGGAATTTTATCATCGAAAGGGTACTTACTGCGCATTAATAAGTCTAATGTTAAACCTTAACGTTAGTAGCACCACTAAATGTTATTTCTGCACAAGGTAATGTGTCTCATATTCTATATTAACATATTTTACACACGAATAACTTACACTTAATTTTTGTGATCATGAGCATTTTGAACATTTTATTGTACATATATTATTATTATAAGCTTTTATAGTATTGCACTGCGTTATGCGTCTTATTCTTATTAGTTAACTCTTGCAAGTTTTGTATACATTTTTATAGCATGACGTACATAGATGCGTATTTTCTTTTTTTTTTTCAATTTTTTAATTTTAATAGTTAATCATTGTAAACAATTTGAGAAATAAATGTTACAATTTCTTGGAAAGGCAAAGTGACCATTGAAGATATTATTTTCCAATTTGACAATATCTTATCCTCAAGTTGACAATATCTTATCCTCAAGAAAATTTTTTATAGATCGCACTCATTTAATATTTATTTTTTTCTAACGTACAGACCATGCGATAGTTTTATCGTCCCCGAGCGACTTGCAGCCCTTCGCTAGCAGTAGCCAATCAGGAGTCTGGCGAACGGTGGTGACACTAGAGAAGATCCTTCCTTTTGTGTATATATGCGTGTATGTGTTGCGTGTCCTCAGCATATTGTCGTCGTCGTCGTCGTCGGTCGGCTCCGATATATGCGCTCCTTTTTTTCCCCTTTGCCACTACCGCCTTGTGCTGCTGCCTTCTCGGATCTTTCCTTTACCCGCCCGTTCTGCTATTCCGCTCTCCTCGTCCCATTCCTCGTTCTCCTGGGAGCTCTCTTTTGCGTTAAGCCGCCACCGCGTGGCACACACACCGCTGGGACGAAGCGAAGGGAACTTACGGAGGACCGCAAGGATAACGCTCTCTTTCTCTGCCTCTCTTCTCTCTTCCGCCAGTGTTAGATTTGATTCTGCGAATGAAACGCGAAAAAAAAAAAAAACCCTTTCAAATTTCGAAAGCAACGCCAGCAATAAAATTGGTTGTTAACGTCGGAATATTTGACGAACTACTATTTCTACCTTTTATGACAGAAAGTGAATACCTTAAAGATAAACTAGAAGAGTAACCCAAGTAGAACACAATAATAAAGTCATCATTATATTGTAGAACGTCATCATGATGTCATTAACTTATATGTGACAAATAAGGTCATGATTGATGTCTTTATATTATTACAACTTCTGTGTTCTACTTGGGCAATAGAAAGATAATTGCGGCGATGTCGCGTATAAAATATATCAAGTACAAGGGCAGGGAGGCATCGAAGGGCACGTCTCGTGCGCGCCTATTTAGCGAGATCCACTGCCTTTTCCGCTCCTTCTTTCGTCCTTGTCGCGCGAGCCCTTCACCCATACACCGCGTTCATCATTCTACCCTCTTCGTTGCTCATTCAGCACTCAACGGCGGCTCCTTCCTTCCTTCCTTCCGTCTCTCTCTCTCTCTCTCTCTCTCTCTCTCTCTCTTGGATACGCACGCACACGTAAACGCGTGTATATTCGCTCTCTTTCACCCTTTGTCTCTTTCCTTCATTCTCACAACCACTGCGTTGAGAAGCCGGGTATGCGAACCTTGCGATACTATGTTATGCCTACGGATCGCGGGTCTGACATACTTTGTATGTTAATGCCACATAATGTCGGTTTTGTTCCTCTTTTCAACGTTTATTCGCTCGGCTCTCCTCCTGGTCCGATCGCTTTTGTCGCGAACGGTGTGTGCGTAACGTGCCGCGTTTCCCATCTCCCTGATATCGCTCTCATCCGATTCCGGAGGAGAGATGTTTAAGAGTGACGATGTATTTCGAGCTAGACAGCGAGACATCCGTAGAGAATCGCGTATCAAAATCTCAAAATCGGAATCGGGCACGGAAGAAGGCTATACTACTAAAACAAACATTTTTTTTCCTAATTAAGCATACAAGATCGAATGTGGACTCGAGGTTCGCTATTTTTTTTTATTCAACGTTTAGTCCGGATTTAATCCTTAGTACATACGATTGGATCGTTCGTGTACTGCACATTTCTTTCTTTGAAAAACTAGGAGCATCAAGTAATTATCCATACAGCACATTTTATTCGTGAGACATCCTGGAAATATCCTTAGTACGTTCTTTAGAGTTCTATGTTGTATACGGTAGTTATAATATTTATATACATTTTTTTTTAAATACACAACCTTATAAATATCTTCTGAAGATGTTAAGGTATATGTAAAAATAATTTTTGTATATTTGTTAAAGTGTGATGAAAATTAACCTGGGACACCGTCATGCAGTAAAGGATCGGAAAATCATCGTATGTACTAAGGGTTAATACAACCGCATCGCGAACAAAGTGCGAGAACAATGGAAATGAGATGTGTGGGAGTTAAAAGAATATCAGCAAAAGAATAACTAGAGATGGAGACGAGAGGAAATCATTTATTTTTATTATACGATTTACCCTTCTAATTCGAAGAAAAGTATTTTACTGTTGATATGCGAGTAACGACAGAAAGAAAAAAAAAACACAATGATTGAGCTGAGAAAATATCGAAAACAAATTATCAGTAGAACTTCGTGAAGCTATAGTAAATTAACGTGGACAAGGCCTCGCGGCGTAAGGAATAAACAGGTAGTAATTAATGAAGCCATTGAGGTGTTCGTAGGATGTATGATTAACGAGACGACGTGACGTAACATAAGTTACGTATGGCATGGCAGGTTAAAAGACGAAAAAGAAAGGGACGGAACGAGAGGATCGGCGGCAGCAGCAACGGCAACGGCAACAGCAACTTGGTTGCAGTAGCGAGTAAACGCAAAAGCACCCTTGCTCGGCCCCGTGCGATGCAAAGACGGGATATAAATAAGCGGCTGTCGTTTGCGGAAGCAGAAAACGGGCAAAAGGACAGAAATAAAGAAGAAGTCGAGGAAGAAAGGGAGCCAGCGACGAAGAAAGGAATAAATAAGTCGGGGAGCGAATGCGTAGGAAAGAAGGAGAGAGAAAGAGGCAGAGGAGAATCGGCAGCACCGGACCCCCGGCTCTCAAGTCCCTTGTCGCTTTGCTCGACCAACGTCCCGATCTACTACTTTCACGGTATACGACCGTCCTTTCGTATTGGAAAGCTTTTATTTCCGCCGTGCAGAGGCTGGCAGGTGTACCCGCGTCTCGTTATCCGAGGAACCACCTCTTTCGAATCATAGGATGGATTTTAGAGGTGTGTTCGTCGAGAACGGAATGGCTTGATAGATGCGTGAATAACAAAATGAATTCTAATTGAATAGTGAACGAATTTATGTCGATACCACAGATGAAGTTCCCATGGATCATTCCAACAAAATTACAGCAACATTGGCTGCATTTAGGAAAAAAAAAACAGCTTTGCAACTGTGGTAAGATTCTTTAATGATTGGTTTATTTAACATTTACATTTTTAGTGAGGAATTAAGATTAATCACATAAAGAATTTTATCACATAAAGAAAGTTACAAGCTACTTTTCTGCTGAATGCTATTCAATGTTGCAGCAATGTTGTTATAAACTCCTGCCTTGTATGGGTAAAGATTGGAGCACAGACCTTTGCATAATGCAAAATGTATAAAGCATATTAAAATCAATTTCAATCAGAGTCTTTTATTTTATGAAAAGGAAGGAAATAAAGACTCTGATTGATTCATTTCTTATGCATTATTCGTTATGCAAGACTGTTTCCTTAATAAACTTTTTCCTAAAATAGAATATAGTTAGGTAGCATAAAGTCTCGATTTCTGCTTATTCTCAGGTCGATTAATTTTCTTTGACTTAATTGGAGGACTTCGACTAAAATTTGAGGATGATTTTAGTCAGAAAAAATTCCCAAAATTCGCGCCGCAGAATTCAAAGACAAAAAAACGTTGAAACTGCTAAGGACACCCTGTATACGCGCATACGCATATACAGCAGGCATATATGCGATGGCTGCGAACAGAACAGAACAGAACAGAATGGAGCGGAATCGAAAGAGAAACGGAACACACAGCGGAGAAGCGCGAGCTGACTGCGGCAGGGGCGCAGCATGTTTATTGGCGCATCTCTCAGTCTTAAATCTTTATGTTGTCTCCGCGACGGGGTCCGTTCCAGCCATCCCCCCTGGTCCCATCCGAGAAAGACGGAGAATCCAAGAAGGGCACCGGCTCGGGAAAAGGACGAGAAGGACGACCAACTCGGCGCGGTGAGGAGAGCGAGAGAAAGAGAGCTAGAAAGAGAGGCGTTCGCCGGGGCACACAGGGAGAGATATATCTTCCCAGGGAGAGTTGCGGTCGCGAAATCGAGTCAAGAGAGTCGGACAAACCGACGACCGTAGGCGCGCATCCACCGCATTACGCACACAGAAGCCGCGATTTTAACGTGCCTCGAGAAACGCGTGTCGCTCGGTCGTGCCGAGCCGAGAGGGAAATGGACCTTCGCCTTCTCCTCGATGCGCTAAAAGCGCATATAGACAAGGAATTTTATTAACGAGATCGCGAGTATGCAATAAGGAAGTCCGGCATGAAGTCGTTCCGATAGTACATTTTCTTACGACGATTATATGTCAACGGAATTAAGAATCGACGCGATTACATCGGGTCGTCGTTTAATTTTTTTTTTGGAAATATTATTCTCGGAAGGTATTTTTTAAAAGATTTTATAATATTGCTAATATTTTTAATATTCTTGAATATTATTAATAAGATTATATTACTATTATTATCTATTTTATCTATTTCTATAATATTCTTGAATTTTGGAGAGAGAGAGAGAGAGAGAGAGAGAGAGAGAGAGAGAGAGAGAGAGAGATGAGGAATAATTTGAATCTCGGTCAAAAGTTAATCGTTATAGACTTACACTCGTATTCATGATCCTTAAATATACAAATCGACTATGAATATCGGTAATAAAAGAACATAAATACAGTTATACATAAGTAGGTATATTTATATCTACCATGATTATAAGTATATTTTCGCGGAAAACGAGTTTCTTTCAAAGAGTACACAGAAGAAAGTTTTTAAATTGAATTAATTAGAATTCTGGTGGAAAATGAAACAATCCAGAAACCTACTTATATAAATCTACAAAATTTTCTGGTTAAATCTATTAAAATTCTAGTTGAAATAATCAACATTTAATAGAAATCTGGTGTTTAGATTTAATCAGAATTCTGGATCGTTCATTTTTCACCAGAATTCCAGATAATTCATCGACGAAACATGTTTTTCCGTGTCTTGAATGCAGCCGCGCGACAACGCGACAATCGAGATATCGCTGCGCCTTTTAGTAACGCGTACGTCCAGTCGTCCGTCCGTCCGTCAGTCAGTCAGTCAGCCGAACGATCGCATTCGCGGTGCTTTACACTCGTTCCGAAAAGGAAGTCGCCAGGATGTTCCAAACTAACGTCCCGTTATGCAGTATTCTTGTCATCGTTTGTAAAAGTAAACGCCGTCTCCGACATAACGTTAACGGCAGGGAAAACACATGACGCCTGTCAACAACGACGGTGAGTTTTAATAGCATTGCGCGTATCGTTTATCGGATTGCGTCGCGGTTAGTTCATTAAGTGGCGGAGATCGGTTGAGAACTATCGAGCGATCGCGGCTACGCAGGAATCATAGATTAACGCAGCAAATTGAAGGAGCCTCTCGAATTTTATTTGTAGTATAAAATTATCTTTGTATTGTCAAAGCGCGCTGTCGCGCGCTGAATTCGTAATGGCGCTCTGAATACGTTCGTAGTCATGATTTTAATTTGATTAATTTGCAACAGGTGGCGCCACTGAAACGTGCGTAGGCGCTTGAAGTAGTCTTGAAATTGAGCTCGGGATGGCGATGCGTACGCGATTTCGATAAACAGTTTGCGTAATTTCCATTGCACCGATTGTCTGTTCAATTACAAACATATCGTCAAAAGTGTTTGATCTAAAAAAAAAAAGATCGAGAGACAAGACATTGATACGATAAAATTATTGACCGTGTTAATGTTGTGTAATATTATTTAAATTTATTAATTAAAAATTATACCACAGAATTCTTGCAGAAATTTAATATTGATGCCCAATTTAATACTAAAAGACAGTAATTAATTACTTATTTTAATTACTTATATTTATTGTAAATATTAAATTTAAAGCATTATTGTTCAGTACTTTTAGTATTCCAAATAAGTTATCAATTACCGTCTTTTAGTATTAGATTTCTATAAAGGAAAAACCGATATATGTAAATCGATCCATGTAATTTCTCTAGTTTTTAAATTAAATAATTACCTTCGTAAATAACAGATGATTTATTCACAAAATTAGTATAAAGGGTCGAAATATATCTATGTAACATTTTATTTAAAAAAATACGAGAAATTGAATTACTGCACTATAATCTCTTAGAAGTCTTAAAATCATTAATTCCCTTAATAACCTGCACAATTGTAATGCACTTTTATTTATTCTCTTATTTTATCTTTTAGATTAGCTAGTACCGAACAGCCTTGGATAATTCTTGCGCCTTGAACGTACGAAACAATCTGCAGGATAACGTTATCTCAGCTATATCATGAGAGGTACCAGATACAATTTTAATTCGTGCGAGAGGAGAAATGGCGCCGAACATTCCGCCGGAAGTTTTTCCACCAAGAATTCCCAGTATATTCCCGGGACGATGCGTGCTCGCGATGGCGATTCGGTCGGTCGGTCCCTGACGATCCCTAAGTGAAATATCATCGGCAATCATTCACGCGAGATCCTTATCGCACGGCTAACGTGATCCCTAACCCCGCCGAACTCGGGAGCAGTTTTATATGCGGGCCCCCGCGGCGAATGAATAAGCCGCGGCGGGCGTGGGTGCCCAGTGCCGGCTGTGGTCGTTGCACGTGGAGGAGTGTCGTTTCGTTCGGATTCTGCGAGCGGGATCGCGACTGGAATGTGAAATCACAGTTTCTTTCCTCTCCGTCTCCCTTGCGACGAAGGATCGTCGCGGCCCGAGGATCCACACCCGAGGAATTGCGGGGAAGTATTCGCGAACGACGCGACGGTCCCGCACGCACGGACGATAAATAAGAACTTCGGCATTTCGCGCGTTTCTCCTCGCACGAGCGATAGCGAGACATGACTTCCGATATTCGAGTACCTATCTTATCTGCCAGTCCCGTCGGTCGATACATTGCGGAATGCGCGCCACGATCGTTGGACAATAAAATGAAATATAAGAATAAGAATACGCGCTTGAGCTGCGATAATCTCAAGTATATCGGGAAAACCCGGGTTAACGTTGTCTTTGACTATTGCCCGTTTCTACCAATGTATAGATTAACTTTAATCTTGGCTCAACTTGCCTGTTCATCTTTTTTTAATTCTTATAACTAGAAAAAGATGAAGAGTTTGTTGAACCGAGATGAAAATTAAATCAACATTGGTAGAAACGGGCCTATGTTGTTGTTTCTTCGTAATAGAGAACTAACTGATGTTTGCTTCTACTGAATGCCCGTTTCTACCAAGATTAACTTTAATCTTGGTTCAACTTAAGATTAAAATTAAACTACACTGTGATAGAAACTGGCATGAATCGGGCCCGGGGCCGATGAGGAAAATACAGTGAAAAAAGCCTCGATTGTTTGTAATTTCGATGTTTACGCGTTTTAAGCCACCTGCCGCTCATGAATAGAAGTCGAATCACGGCGGGACGCGCGCGTCTTGCTTTCGAAAGATGTTAATTAGGCTTTTACGGTACACGGCCAATTCCAATCTACATTGTGTGTACGAGGTGAATTCTCTCGCGGTAAGGAAATCGCGCAATACTTTTAGGCCCCCCCTGGTATATACGTTGCGAAAAAGTGAAATGTGTTGTACCATTGCGTTTCCATTGTTGTGTCACGGGGAGGCGTAAAACGGGGCAAGGTTGCATTCGCGATTGTTCGGAAAGAGTCCCACATGTAAGTTCAAGTCAGTTCCGAATCTTTCGTACTTACGCTCCCCCTCCCCTTCCCCCTCCCCTCTCCCTATATTTTATATTCCATCTGTTTATATTTTTCATATATAATATATATTTCGCCTCGATCAATTTTTTTTCTATCAATTTTTTTCAAGTGAAAGTGGTTCTATCCCAAACAGTGCACAATATTTATAAAATATTTACAAAATATTTATAAGATTTATTTTTAATATTTTTGTGATCTTAAAATTGCACATATTATGAACATTTTTTTATTATAACTATTGTAAAATATTTTTTGATAAATGTTTTAGTAAATGCTAAGAAAATAATGAGGCATTATATAATCCAATTAAAAAGTATATTTATTAGAAATATTTATTTATAATTTATCATAAATATTACATAAAACATTTTTATGTCTATATTTTAATAATATTTCGCATAAAGCTTTATATAAAATATATATGAAATGTAACATTTCAAAAGAATTAATATTAAATATTTTGTGATGTCTAGGATAATTCTACGTGTTAAATGTCAATTAGACATGTGTCAAAATATATTTATGTCGAATGAGATAATACGTGTAATACGTATACATTTAATGGAATCCACGATATTAACTTAGAACTCGTGCGCGACGTTAATCAATAATATCAACTTTCTACGACGATCACAAACCATTTTGAAATATATAATGACATCTCAGCAGCGTAAATGAAAACGTTGCGGTATAGTAAACGAGCAGGCGATGATGAGAGAACGAGAAAGAAAGAGAAAGAAAGGAGAGGGCAGTATGGGCGCGCGTTTCTCATTGTGAAAATCTCAGGAATCTCTGACCTCCGGTGGCTGCTCGCTTTAATTACGTTTGTCATTTCGTCGACCGGTGTCTCATTATAAAGAAAGTTCGAGACATAACTCAGCACTTGTTGCGAACTTAGGTGGCCTCTTTCTAGTAACGGCACTAACCAGCCCAACCAGACAACCACAGCAGCAAGCAAGCAAGCAAGCAAGCAAACAACCAACCAACCATCCAATCAACCAACCAACCAACCAACCAACCAACCAACCAACCAACCAACCGACCGACCGACCAGCCAGTCATGAGCCCCCTTTTACCTTACGTATAGCCCTCCGCGTGCCTCTCTTCGCATCGCCGCTCTAGATCTTCGGATAAGAGCGAACACCATTTTAGCGGTTCCTTACACACCAGACATCCGCTCCCTTCCTATATATATACGGCGGCACTCGGGAGAGCCTGGCTGCATTTTTTTCCGCGCAAATATGTCAAGCGACTAGCGAGAGGGAAGGACGTGAAGAAAGGGGATGAGATAGACGGGACCAAGTATTTAGATGGTGAAAGAGAGACCAAGAACTCGGAAAACACAGGAAGAAATAAAAAAAGAATGAGAACAAACCTATCAGCTAGAAATTAGAGGTCCTCAAGTAAGAGATTGGACATCTCATACATTTGATCCACTATATTTCGTAGGATCTGCATAACATAAAGTGAAATATCCACGAATCTCCCTCTACCTTATGTATCATATTAGTCTATCTTAAGCAGATCCTGAAAAATATGGCGAGCCAATCAGAAGTTGTTCAATCTCTTATTCGAAGATCTCTAGCCGAAACCTCTAATTCTGTATATGCATGCTGGGATTTGTACGCGTGAGAGCGAAGGAAACAGAAACGGGATAGCGTACCGTTTTGCGCGCGATAAGGGTTTCGTTGTTTCCCGTTTGTCGTTCCTGCAACAAGAGCGGCATTACGTCGGCGCGTTTGTTTGCCGTTTCGCTGGACCTGGAAAGGAACGCGCTACCGTTTTCGATTAATCTCCTCTTATCTCGGTGACTGAATCTCGGCGTCTTGTAGAAATGCTGTTAAATACCGCATGCTGTCGAGGGAGAATTTTGGTGGTAAAGAATCGGGGTGTATATTATCGATAACGTTTAATCAGTATATTGATTCCCTGATTAAAACCTGATTGCCGTAATCTTGAACATGATTAACTATTATTTCCGAGAAGAAACATTGCTCCGAGTTTTTCTCGGAATTTCAGAAGCGGATGTTGCTTATCTACGAGGACTTTGCTATTTTTCCTGTAACGTTACTTCGTCCGCGAGATACCTAATCGCGCATGCTTCATATTCAGGTTAATTTCGCATTTAATTGTAGATTTATCTGTTTACGAGACCTATCCGTTGTACTGTTAGAGAGCGATAATCAATCTCACCGCGAACGGTGAGAAGATCCACTTCAGGAGTGAGATCCGTCATTTCATAAAATTACCTGCGCTGCAAAGTGGAGAAATCATATTTATAATTATGGCAGCGTAAGAAATACCTGACACGCCGTAAAGCGCTGGCAGCTATAATTATAGCGCAGGAAATTGTGTGTGCATTTATCATGAGCATTAATATATTCAAATATATGATAAGTAAACAATAATTATACTATAATATTTAGATAATCCATCGAATTCGTTGTTCGGATAATCGAGGTGTTTTTTTTTTTTTTTTTTTTTCTATATGTAGACCACATATATATAAATCACATAGGTCGTATATCGCACAGTGTAAAATAATTGTAATTGATCTCGTATATCGGAATAGATATAAATTTCAATATCGAGTCGCGATGGCGCGGCGCGGCGTTTTCCCGAGTGACTCGCGTGCGTGTAACACGATTGCGATTTGCGTATGAATCCCGTCGGCTCGGCATTCGATCGCACATAAAATCTAGCTTTGCATGCTGATAAGGGGCCTCGCGCGCGCGCGCGCGAGCACACACACACACACACACACACACACACACCTGTATGTGTGCGTCGCACCGCACCGGCCGTGCGTATACATACGCGCACGCATAAAGAGGCCCCGCCGCGCTATATTACACCTCTCTCTCTCCCACCTCTCGTTTCCGACCCCTCCCCGTCTCCCTCTTACGCTCCTTTCTCTCTCTCTCTCTCTCTCTCTCTCT